GAACATTTGGCAGAATACAAAGCAATAACCATAGAGTAGTCGGTAAACATAACTGAATACTTTATTATATGGTTAAAAATCTGATTCAGTCCTAATGTATAGTGATCATTGAAAGTGTACTACAGCAGATTTCATACCTAAATACAATTTACTTCGACATACAGAAAAACAATTGTATGTATCACAGTTTGTGGTTTAAAATCACTTGCACTCATTCCATCATTTTAATCACTACATAATCCGAATCACATATATAAGAAATATCCATTCATTGTAACTTTGTCATCTCAGTCATTAAATATCAGGTCAAATATCAGCTGATTTATTTATCATGCCCTGAACCATAAGTTTTATGGTACATTATGGAAAATTGTAATAACTAATTGATCTTCAAGACAGGCAAAATTAAACATTCGAATTGTGTACTTTTAGTCAGCTTTTACAGTATTTTTTTGCTTCTAATCTTCACTGATAACAATAACAACAAATAAAAAATTTACTTTTTTGATCATCTTGGGATTGTCCGAGGAATGAGATCAAATCATGTTGTATTTTGTTGTCATTGGTTTATTAAATTGTGTATTACCTGTATTCATATGTTATGATCTGTCAAGCATAATCATATAGGAATTACTATTCATTTTTGGCACTTCCGTCTCAATTTTGACGTTATTATATTTTCTGAGCTGGGTAGTTCAATAGTGAAGCTTTTATTGTCCTTCTCATTTGAATGAGAAGTGAGTTATCGGGCTCCCATTTTGCTTCAAACATTTACTGTCTTGTTTAAAAATATCCAACAAATTAAAAGGCTAATATATATGAACGAAGAATATTCTTTTCGATAAATTCTCTTCAGGTTCTACGATTATATATCCGAATTAACAATTCGAAAAATGGCCAGATTAAGGATAAAATGCATCGTTTAAAGCGTGTGAATTTGGGATTGTCAAATAAAATAGAATAAAATTATTAATGTAGATATGACTCATATAGAATGTTAACTTGAATCTGCGTATATGTTAAGTGAGATTTAAGATCCATGATCAGAATTAATGTGGATCAGATAGGGTAAGAGAAATAATAGTGAAGTTACAAATTCAATCAAATGTTTGATGGAAGACTATAATGTGTAAGGGTTTCTTATTAAATTAGTAAGAAATAATAGTTGAATGAATGCTAGATAAGTAAATCATATATTCGGGAGATTAACAGCGATGTTAAACCAATAATAATGACGATAATAATGATGATACAAAAACAACTGAATACAGATAACAGAGACAACTACATTTGACTAATAAGCATACATTGGCCAAACTAGGTCACTCAGTAGCTAAGATTGCTATTGACTAATTAGCCGTGAGGTAGGCCACGGTAGGGGAAGCGGTTGAAGATATTTCTTTTGTACACATAGCTCGGGTTTCTTAATCCGAATGGCTACTGCCTTACACTATTTGAAGGACGTTGAGTCTGACAGAGTTTGGCAAGAAATTACTGACCCGATAAATAATTGAGATTGGCTTGTGCTGGCACTATAACCAGTTTATACTAAATGGTTCTATATTGAGTTGTTCATTTTCTTTACTGAACCTTTGTTTAGCCACGCTGGGAGGTGTTGACGAGCATGAGAATGCTAGTTACTAGAACCTTGACCAATATCACTTGCTCTACAACAGCAGTCGAACTGATAAATATAAAACCAGATGGTCATTCTAGGTTATTAATCTTTTATCCTCGAGTTGACCAGTGGGTGCGTAGAAAACACTAGTTGTAGTTCTCCAGCATTCAGTGATTTTCGGATCGTTCTGTATAGTATCTGGATTAATATTTCGCTAGTTACATCCCCTCTGAATTGTAGGCGCATGCACAGGGATTTCTTATTCACTATTTTTATTTCACCTATTCTAATCTTCGTGATCATATAGTGGTATTCGTCCTTCCTAAGCGTAGTACGCGAGACGTTCAACTCTCTAACTATATTCGTAGAACATATAATGCGTATTTGAGGACTAAGAGTTTTGATCAGGCTTTTTTCGTATAGTAGAGGTACAAAGCCAAAGGAATGTGTGTACCGACTTGTCGGTGTATTTTCTCCCGTTAAAATTTCTTCTTATTGACCAGTCAGCTCTCTTAGCTAAGAAAACGTCCAAAAAGGCTATTCTACCTTCACTTTCTCCTTCAGATATGAACTTCATTAATGTTCCTAATAATAACTGGTGGTGATGTGCTATCTTTACGGAGGATGAACGTGTCATCCACATGTCGATAATAAAATGTGAATTTTTGAACTATTTTTTTAAGTGGACCATTTTCTGTTTTGGCTAGTAAAGTATCAGCTGGTGTGGGACCCAATAGTGATCCCATTGCAACTCTACTCCTTTGTTTATAGGTTTCTCCGCTAAACTTGAAATTCACATTTATGGTGCATTCTCTTTTACGACACTAATTTGAATTATAATTCTAATTTCGTTTTCTTCAAGTTGTTCACATATATATTTTAGTCCTAATGACTGGAACACTTGTGAATAATGATATTATATCCCAAGACACCATCCTTTGTTCCATAGTATTTACATTTTCGATCTTGTCAACAAATTAAAAAACATCTTTAACATAATGCTTTACAAGTTTTGCGTGGAATGGTTTTAATATAGTTACCAACCACTTGGTTGTTGTATGATATGTAGAGTACTACATATCAAAAATTGGTCTCAATGGGATACCGGGTTTGTGCACCTTCGGTAACCCATACAATTTTGGTAGATGAGTTCCCACAGGTCTAATCATTTCTTATAAACCTGATAAAGGTATCTGTTGGTCTCTGAGCTCCTTCAAAGATTTGGTTGGTTCATTCCCTATCTTATTATTGAGATCTTTTTGATCAGTTCGTTTTCGAAATTTTAATGTCATCTAAACTGGTACCCACTTTGTCAGTATCATCACTTTTATTCACAAAAAAAGCTCTTAAAGCTTTGTCAGGTTTCATAATCAATAACATTCCATCCTTTATGAGTACGTTAACAGCTTATTCGTGCTTCTTTGTAAGGATGATTTTGAAGTTAAATATACTGCTCTCATACTGGTAACAACAGTCTACAAGACTTGATCTCAAATGTTCAAGTTGTTGATCAGGATTTGCAACTAAATTCCGGGTCTAACTATGTAGATTTCCGAACTGTATACCTGTATCTATGTGGTCGGAGTGATTACTGTCTTCATTGGTAAACTGTATATTGTACTACATAACATAGGCAACAATAATACCGGTACTTAGTTGAATACATCGCTTTTTATTGATAAGTATAGATATATGACTCGATATCTTGTTTGCTGATTTCTTATTTAACTAACAACTCAAATAATTTCTTACTATGCTTTACCTATGCATTTCGTATGCTTACATTAAGATTCAATAAATACTGTACTATTTCAATCGACAATCACCCTAGCCGAGGATATATATTGGCAAAATTTCAGCGCTGAAGTATTTCGCCCTTACATCTGTTGGAATTTATTCATATACACGTTCGTTACAAACTACATATTACTTTCTTCAATAAAATATATCTTTTTGGCAAAAATTAATGTAGAATTTTCTTCTACATTCCAATATCATTAGTTTATACTTGTTCATAACTAATGCATTGTTAATGATGGCATGGTGTGGATCTGCGCCTTAATAATTTAAATACTCAGCGATTTTACCACGATTTCTAGCTTCGTAACATACATTTAGATTTGGTCATTTGAAAATATTGTCTGTAAAATTTACACACTGAGTAAAGTTGGAAGCTAGACATGCAAATTTAAACATGGTTACTACATTAAAAATGATGTATTTCGTTAAACGAGATGTAGAAATTCTAATCATATACCCCATTAAGTATATCTCTGTCAATTTTATTGTCAAGTAAAAAGTAGCGTTACTTTTAATTTAGCAGGACTTTTATGTTTATCAGAAGTAAACCTCAGTAAACATAAATCAAAATACATTAACTTAACACATTTTCTTTACTACTCAGAGATTTTCCAATGGATCTTTCCTACGCTGCTTGGCTACGTTATTTGAAATACTAGTTCTTTTTAGTGTAATGACGATACACATCAATCATACGTAACTCATTTTACTTTGTATAAGTCTATTGACCGGAAACTTAGTCACATTATTTAATTGAGGATTATTAATGCTACTATCCTGTTTCCTAAAATGAAGTATGTTGAACAGAATTCAAACATGAAATCTGATGGCATTATATGTATTTGAAATAATCCTGACAATTTAAATTTCAATGGTTCCGACGCTTCACCTGACAAACTAGCCCGATCTTCTTCAACGAAACAATCAAAATTGTCATCTATAAATAAGGTTTAAAGTGATTCTGTTGACCTTTGATAATTTTGATTACTCCACTGAAGACCATTGAACCAGTGTGGCAGGTGAAATGTTGGAATTATTTAAATTTCAATCGCTGAGATTATTTCAAATATCATTTTGACATCTATCGTCGTCTAGATACTTGGCATTTAATTTCGTTCAAACCATTCGTTCAAATATTGACGAATATTCACATTAACTGGAACAGAATTGTTGAAAACTACCTCTTTACCGAACACCACTAGAAATAAGCTGATCCATTTTTTCGAGGAATATCATGCTAATACATTACAGTCAGTCAAACTATCTGGTTCACATTCCATGTTTGTTTTAAAAACAACAATCGTTTGTCTATCAAAAGGATTTTATTATGCAAAACTACTGGTTGAAAAACCATGTTATCCTTTTCTATTCATAAGTTATCTTAATTAAAATGACAAATAAATCTGATTTTAAAAAAAGAAATTAACAATAATTCAATATGATTGTTTACTTTACAAACACTAGTGAATTTTTATGGACAAATCTGAGGTTATGTGAATGCGTGAGTGTATATAAATATTATACCGAAAGAAATTCAATCATTCATTCATAGTTGTAATTAGTTAATTTCAGTATGAAAATACTAATATGTTATCATTAAATCATTCTCACCCCAAATAACATGTTTATATTTTGTTTTCAATGCATGCTCTAAATCAATTCTACGTGAACCATTCTGTATTTCACAAGTACATTTCACCTGAACTTGGAGTATACCTGATGTTGACCAAATACGTTCGTGACTAATGTCTTTTATGCTTTGCATATAAAAATGGAAAAGTTAAAATTCATGAAGAAATACTTGATGGAAAAATAGATTTATGGATCTGGGTAATGATACCCTATTTTAATTAAACTCGTATCAACCTAGTCAATCAATTATTTGTGTCGATTGGACACCTTAATTACTCATAATCCGGCTTAAATTGTTTACGATCTATGAGTATACATGTTATGGGCAATTAATTTACACATAAATTAACTGACTTATATAACGTTCTCGCACAGTTAAATAGAAAGATGACTAACAAGCAAAATTGATCAATTTCAAGATAAGCACTTACCAATGTTGAAATGAACAAATACTAAAGACTAAGACATTATTCAAACGAATTTTAAATATGAATAGTAAATGGGCGATTTTTAAGTTCATCATAAATCGTACCACCCCGAATTCATTGAATAACATTTCCAAAGTCAAACTATTATAATGCAACTAATTATTAGACAGCATTTTTAAAATATTGAACGAACAGATTAATTCGGCAGTTTAAAAATCCCCAAAGAATATTCAAAAGTGTAGAATATTTTCAATAACTTCATCATCATCATCATCAGGCTCTACAGTTATATGTCCATAATGATTGTGATATTTTACAAAGGTCAAAATAAGGCATATATTAAGACATTTGAAAGTGTTATATGTTAAATAAGGGTTAGTGTTTACATCTGTTATGATATAAATACTTCACAATTGTGTTATTTGTAAATTAGAAAGATCATTTAATAAAGGTCAGAATAAATTGGAGTAGATTGTCAAGTCACAATCAGTACAATAGTAATATAGCAAAAATGAAAATGAAAAAACAATCATGTAAATAAAATGCATAGTAAGAGAATTTCATCTTGTCAATTGAAGTAATAATGATAATAGAAATCGTGATAATAATGTTAAAAATTGTGCTAATATCTCTAAACTACAAATTACGAATGATAGTGCCTAAGATAAACATATTTAGTTCACTTGGTGTTGTTTTACTTGTATCTTCCCATTGATGTTTAGCACTGCAACTGGTCAGTCTGTTATTGGTATACGTGTATACTATGCACATTACCTCGATATTGTCTTCATTCACAAGCTCTATAAGCAAAGATGGATAGTGGATAGCAGTGGAATCGGTGACACGTGTTTCGTCCTATTTGGGACTCGTCATCTGGATGTACCTGCACCCCAGAGTTGATGTTCACTCCGGGACACGAACCCAGTTCCGTTCGCCTCAAACGCCATCGCGTTATTCATTTTTGCTCGAAAAGCTTGTGACTTGAGGCTATATCGAGGCAATCCGCACGGGGCATACATATGCCAACATGAGACTGATCAACTGCAGTCCTAACTAACAATCGGAAGATACAAGTAAAGCAACAACAAGTGAATTTAAACTTCACCCCATCGCACAAGCAAGCGGCTGTCAGGATTCAGTAGCTTGGTGGATAACGCGATGGCGTCTGAAGCGAACGGTGCTGGGTTCGAGTCCCGGAGTGAACACGAACTTTATGATGCATGTACATCCAGCTGACGAGTCGCAAGTAGAACGGAACACGCGTCCCGGATTCCACTGCTAGCCACCATTCGTCTTTGCTTAAAGATATTTAGTGCTACGATTTCTTAACTGAAGCATCTTAGCGAGATTATTATTTTGCATTCTCAACCGATTTATCACTTCTTAACTTCCTACTGACAACAAACAGAGAATAAATAAAATTCAACGACATTTTTGAAATTAGATTTGTGCTACCTACTAAAAAAGAAAAAGAAATATTTTCGTGGAGTAAATTTTATTTTAGACAGTTCTGGGTAAAACTGTAGTACAGTGATGAGCTTATCAGAATGGTGGAAACAAATTTTAACTTTTACTACTTAGAATGAGCCGCAAACATACATATGTATAGTGTTAGAACGCTTAAAATTACAGCAAAAAATTGGTTTTATTACATCAAAGGATAAAAATAATAGTTTTAAACTAATCAGATACTCACTTCTTTTTATATCTATTTCACGTGACAGGCAAACCAACCCTTACTCAACCTTTAACTCTGATCGGAAACAATGCATTTACTCCTAAAAAAATTTGTGTCCTTACAAGGGTTCGAGAAAATGGATGATTTATGACCAAATGGACAAGTTTATATGTCACTGACTTTTCGACTTGCATACAGAAAGACCTGCAGAAAACTCTGATAATTTCCTTAATCATGTAAATTATATGGTATTACTGGCGTTTTTATTAACTTTTAATTGGTTAACAATGAGCTATAACTAGTCGCGGTTATTTCAAGAACCACTAAAACTTACCTCAATATTCTACTCCCACCCACTTTCTGTTTTAGTGATAATACTTAGTTCTAAAAGCTAGAAATTGTTATGGGAAACACTGACCATTTAATACTTTTTTCATTACTGTAAGATTTTTTTAAAACGATAATCCATGAGATATCATGTAACATTAATAAACAATATTAAGTTTAAGAAACAATACAACCGTTATGTTAACTTACTTAGCTCCGATGTCGTTCAAAATTAGACATAGTTCTGAAATACTTTCAGGTTGATCATTTAAAACAACTATGAATCGACAGAGACGACCTTCAAGTGCTAATCCTTTGTCAATAACACGGCTTAGTGATGAGATGTCAATATTTCCTCCACTTAGAATGCATACAACTCTAAAACATGAGGAATAATGAGGACAAGTTGTTATTAGTTGATATGGTGGATTTTACAACAATTTCCATCAAATCACTTTAAATAGTCGTTCGACTTTTTTCCCATGTTAGGTAATATTCAGTCATTCGTCTTTCAGTTCGAAGGTTGGATTCCTTAACTAAATCAACGAACAATTTATTAGGAATATTACAAAATAACGTAAGAGTGGCTCAACGTATGGTAAAGTCACAGAGCCTGCCAGTCTCTATAATAGGTCTATAACTACAGATTGAATATAATTTCAGTATTTGGATAAAGCTAGTGATAGTTGTCATATTAGTCTTCAAGTTTGTTTTAATAGTCAGATGTTTCGGAATATTTTCAATACAGTAGACAGCTGGTGATATTTCGCATTGACATTTCCATACCTAAAATGTAGTTAGTCACAAAGATAAGACGCCTTACATATTTCCTTTTGAATATGTGGTCCCAAAGACTGAATTTAATGTAAAGTCGATAATCAAAAATGTTCGAATCCTATCCCAGTTAGTTGCAATATACACATTAGTTAACTGAAGAACGGAACCACTATCATTATATATATTTATAGCTCACACTGACGATGTCAAGCTATCTTCTTCCCTGATTTGCGATTTAGGTGGAACGTGTGTTTACTAGAAAAATTGGAATGTTACCAACATGACATGTCCATAAAATCAAATTTAGTGTAATACGCCAAAAATCCAAATACTCACTTTTTTCCGATTAATTCAGGCAAAACATTTGCCATAATTAAAGCTAATGAAGTAGCCCCAGAACATTCTACAACAGATTTCTCAAATTCTAATAAACGAACAACTGCACGATAGATATATGTTTCATCAATAGTTACCACTTTATCAACTAATTTATGAGCTGTTTCAAAGGAATTCACACCAACCACAGAAACAGCTAAGCCTGATGAAAGAACAAAGAATACACTTAATCTAAAATAAATATCACGATAATACTAAACGATATAAACCATTTATGTAATTGAAGTTATCCAACGAACTATGGATGTTAAAACATTAGGTATAGGACTTTTTTACCTAATATAATTGGCAATATAAATTAACTAGTGAATGCTCAGTATTAAGTAGGGGCACATATTTGCTATAAAGAAATCTACATCACAATTAACGGGAAAATAGAACCTAATCACAAATAATGGTTATGACTTCGACCACATTTTCCCAGTAATTAATCATTGGGTCGTATGATGTCGATAAGAAATGTGTAATAATCACTATAATGGTACTATATAAACTTGGGAAGATAAATTTAGAGTTCATTTGATATACAATACTGTAGCAACGATGAAAAAAAAACTTTAGTAGCCAAAATAATGAAAATTACTGATATTGAAATTACAGTGATGCTTTTCTTCATTCTTTCTTCAGTTCCTAGATATTGTGACTAATTTCAAATTAGATTTAGGATTATCTGATAATGAAGGGAATTCTACAAATTTAACGAATCTTTAGAACGTGCAAAAAAAAATCCAACTAGTAGAAGAACTATTTTAGAGATATTAATTACACCATGACAACTTCGATGTAAGTTAATCTAGGTTTTAAACAAAACTAGTTTATTTCAACAGATTACTTTCTATAACAATCGAACTAAATTAGATATATACGAAAAATAAGGATAGCTCTAAGCTGCCGTGGTTCCTGTATATGAATAAATCAAGTGTAGTACGTTGTCAAGATGTCACTACCCAATGATTTTCGAAAGTACTTAATATGATGGGATAAAAAGATGACACTACTTAAGTCAACATTTCCTATCATTTCGATGTAAACTTCATTCTATATGAAATGTGAGCTTTCGTTCAGTGTGATAATTATATCTATTGTATCAATTATTATACTGTATTCAGCGTGTTTTTACAGTAACTATATGTATTTTCTCCCATCTGTGATATTATTAAGTGTCAAAATCAGTATTTGATTATATTTTGGTCTAAAGATGACATGCAACTTTTGGGGACGTGTTTTTGGAGAATCAATAATCTCCATTCCACCAGCTTTTTATGTTCTAACTTTGCGTCACGGGAACAGTGGCTCCCGTTTCAAAGTATAAGCAGTAAGATCCAGGAATTGCGGTGCTTTCTAGTAGTCAAGTAAAGTATCAAGACTGAGGAATATCATTAAACACACGGCGAGTTTTGTATTTTTTCATCCCATTAAAAAAATTTCATTCCGTTTCGTCCAATTAAATGACTAGTTTTAAATTCTTAATAATTGTTTATTTTTTTATTAAAATTGATATGAAATGTAAGTACTTGTCAACAGAGCACCTTTTCTTTAAATTATGGACAATGGTAACGTAAAGAGTACAAGCTCTGTTGTTCCTGATGTTGTTACGGACACGGATAACATATTCTTGAATACATTGTATCTGGTACCGTTCTAATCACTTGAAGAGTTAAAGAGAGCCATCAGAACTTATGAAAGGGCGACGTACTGCCATTATGCAGTGCAAGATTCTCATTTTCATAGGGATCAGAAGCCGTATATTAAATTTTTATATTGGAGAAATGGCCGCAGAACACATAGCTGATCCTAACACCCAATTAGACGAAGAAGGTAATTTGATTTGTGTTATTACATTGTTCAAGAAGGACTGCAATGTCTGACCTTCGTCTGTTGTAAGTTTATTGAAGGTTACTGTACTGTTGTTCGTGGGAATGTACATCAAAATCATGGATGTAATTCCCTGACTAGATATTGGATTGAAGTGCAAGTTCAAAAATGTACAGGTGATTGTCGCAACAATACAGATATCGGTCGGGGACCCCAAATTTATCGTCTTCAAGAAAAACTTACATCTGCTGCCTGCCAACTTATTGAAGCGTTACCTGAGCATTCCTGTAACAGAAATCATAACGTAAGTGCATTAGTTCACGGCTGTTGACACTACAGGCACTTAAATGGTCTTCCAAAATTCCGTCAATTGCTCGTATAGTTACTCAATGACAAAGATGAAATTGTTTCCACAAACTCAAAAGAATTCAATAAATGAGACAAAAACACTAACGAAGATGCCCACGACAACAGACTGTGTAACATATACAATTTCGCTCAACCGCCAAGTGAAACTGCTGATGGAAGCACTTGAATTTTTTGTCACTGTGATGCAACGTTCCATTTGTTTTGTGCTTGTGACTGACAACCACAATTCCATGGATTCCATTGTCCGATATGCGGTGTGAGAACGGAATAATAGTTGCGCCATTGTTCAGGGTAATCTGAAATGTTTAGAGACCAAGGGCCCTTGTTGAAGCCACGCACAATTCCACTTAGTTTCTTTCGTTTCAATCCGTTAAAAAATGATATAAAACAAGTTTTGTTAATCTCATTCTCAGTGAAGTAGTTTAACAGTTTCTTCTGATAACTCCTTTCCTGTGTACAACAATGATGAAGTTTTTTTAACCTTTAGGTGTGTACTGAAAATTAGTGAGTTTAGGCTATCACTAATGCTGATTTACTGAACCATAAGTACTAATATCAGTTCACTGGTACAACAATATTATTTCTATGGGAAAGGTCACCTGAACTAACACTGATGAATTATAATAAAGCCCCAGTGAATAAGCTACATAATCAATTGAGAATAATAATAATAACAATGTGATTATAGCTGAGATCCTAACAGAGTTGATACGTACATAACAGCGGTAAAATACGCATACGTAACAGAGTCAACGGCTAAACTGGATACCTGACAAAGGAATTAGATGCATTTTTGATTCCTAGTGAGGAACAGACTTAAGGACTTTGCAAAAAATATCAATGAAGTACATAAATCCAAGTTAACTGACTGGAAAATTAAATCTCATTACGTTTTAATATGTGTGACATAAGTATTTACAAGAAAGAGATAAAAATTTACTGGCAATCCGTTTGGTTACAGACAAAATATAATATTTAAAAAAATTCTATACCATCTGCAGATGATTGACGATTTTCTGTGTAGACTGGTTTACCAGCGAACATAGCTTCTTGAAAACCAGGACAACGATTAGATTCTACACCCTAAAATTCGTATAACATTATTATTACCAAGATAAGTTGTTAATTGCACATTTAATTGGTTATAATAATATTCAATAAAAAGTAATTTCTTATGCTTTCTCTGTTCTACCATAATTTATTTATTATCAGACACTGAAAAAATACATTCCATTCATTTAAATTGCTATAATTATAGTTCATCATTATTTATTTTACCTTCAATTATATAATCATAACATAGGAGTTCATGTAACTCAAACAAAAGTCCTCAAATGCCCTGGTATGGCCGAGAGTGGGGTGGGCTCGGCCTCCCTCTCGAAATGTTCTCACACGGCCACGCGCATACAGCCACTGCCAGAGAAGTCCTACTCACTGCCTTCTCGTACCACGGGTGTTGTTTACGAAAATGAGAGGGCGAAAAGCGAATGTCCGACGCTTTAACCAAATTCCAAACCAATGGTGCACATTGGCTCCAGTATCCTGAGGGAACAAATGGCGTATGAACCAATTTTTGGTCACCGGCTACCATGGGACTGCTTCTCCTTACGATGTTCCACTGCCTTGTGGGTTAGACCTTTAGGTCAAAGGCTCGGGGTGTGGCCCCCTAAGAAAACCGCCTGATTCGGTCTGGGCACCCGGGCAGTATCCCAGCCCTCACACAAATCGAGTGTTCTATGTGGCGCATATCTATTTGGTGCCTCCTTGTACCAATGTTTGTGTTTAAATAAATAAAATAGAAACTCAAACAAAAACTAGGACTATGCCTCAAGTAGTTCTGTCATCATCTATCCATTACTTCCATTATATTCTATTTAGTTTAATAGAATCTTCAAGATTATTTCAAATTGTAGCTTAAAATGTTTTTAGCAGTAAATATTGGAGTTGACAAATATGTTATTTGATGTTTTTCTTAAACTAACCTGAGACTAACCTGTATTTTAATTTGTTCAAAGGGTCAAAGTTTTATGATTAATGTTAACAAAAGACAGAAAACATTGTAAATCGTGAAAAAAACTACTTTTTGATCTTTTAATAACTAACCGGTCAATTACAATGTTGCTAAAAATAACTTGAGAATGTTTTTAACATAGAAAGAAAGTTTTTTCAACTAATGTGATGATATAGAATTTCATGGTGAATAAAAAAACATACGATAATTTCTTAATTTTAAAGGTTTGCTATAATACTTGAATGTAATCAGTAAAATCATTTTTCATTCATATGTAGTTCGCTTTAATGATATAGCACAAATAAAGTCCATTCTATTCAGTAGGTTTGTCCGTATTATAAAATATAAGAGTATGTATATGAATACTAGTTCAATTAACGACTGATTATTTTCAACCAAAATGAGAGAAAACTTCCTGAAAAATTAAACTTTTAACTTACTTCACTCCAAAGTTTACACTCATGACACTGTTCATAAGAACACTGAGAATTTCACAAGTAAACGATTCTTTTTTTAAGATAGTATCAACAGTATCACCCTACTGACACATGAATCTTTCACTAATAACACGAGAGGTTGTCTTATTCTATTTTTAAAAAAACTAAATATCTCTAATACATTCAAAAATGATCATGAGTAAATATTTCGTTGGAATCTACTTACAACTATCATAACTTCTGGTCGAATAGATTTAACTGCCACACAAAGTCCAGCTAATAAACCACCTCCACCAACTGGTACAATAATAGCATCCACATCAGGAACTTGTTCTAAGATTTCTACACCAATGGTACCTTGTCCAGATAAAATATGTGGATGATCATAACTACAGTAGAAAGTAAAAAACTATGTCAGCTTATCTGTTGAAGACTTAACTGTGACAGAATCGTAACACTCATGTGATGCGGTAAGAATTAAATCAGATAATAAAGGATTAGTTCTTTTGGAAAGTGAATAATGCATAGTTTATTTATTATTTTATCATTATTAGCTTTATTCAGTATTATATTTTTGGTAAAATATAGAATTCTCAGCGCAAAGTATTTCAACAAGTTTCCGTTTTTTATTTCTTGATGAAACCTGACGATAAATAATGAGCGCTAGCCAATTAGATGTTAGCAGATCAGAAATCGACATCTGAATAATGTACATTCTTTTCGACGTATATTGCCAGCAACCACAATGTCTCTGATTGTGCTCTTTCCTAGCGAAACGTCGTGAATTTTTCACAAACGCACTTGAATACCTTGTGCAATTAGTTGACATAACGATCTGTTGAAACAAACAAAAGACAGACAACTTGTTGAAATATCTACATGGCAGGAACAAGTAGCCCAGATATTCAAGCAGGCCGCCTTTATGTCATTGTTTATCTGATTGTTAAATGATTTGTAGTGGCTTAGATTCGTTAATTAATCACCTTGATAACCGTTATTATATAAATCCCAACGGTGTTTGAAATCAGAAGGCAACAAGAAGCGGAGACTACAGTTTATTAGCGAATAGCTCAGATAACAAAGCTACAAACACATCGAGTTAATTTCAAGCAGAGAGACGAATATTTGTGTGCAAGCGAATACGGAGGTAAATTTATAGTCAAACCAAATCAAGGTGCAGTTAGGCAAGGTAAAGGCCAATAATAGGATTCGAGTATATATACATGGGGAAAAATGATTCATCGAGTGATATCTAAGCTATCAACATCTATCAAGTATCTACTGTGTTTAACTAAACAATAAAACCATATTATTTGAAACTAAATAAGTATGGATATTAGTTATGTTTGATTGTGTTCAAAATGTAGATAGATCAGAATCAACGAAAGTATAATTCGAATAGAGAATAAATAAGTAAATAAACTTACCCATTGATTAAAAATAAGTTGTTTAACTTTGCTATTTTTGAAGCATACAGTTTACTCTTGAAGTAGAAAAGAAAGAAAGCATATAATGTTCACAATGAAAATCACTTTAAAATTGTACAAATATTTTTCCACATTTGTAATAATTATAAACCTACTGATTACTAATTTGTAGACAGATGAATTTCAAGTATTTTTAGTTAGAATCTATATATCCTGAGAAATCGACATTTATTCCGTAAAACTGAAATAGTAATTCACTTATTAACACTAGATAATAACTATAACATCAGTTTAGTGGATTATATTATAAATAACTGAACATCATAACACTCCTCTAAATGTGTCATCTTTACTATGAAATAGGAAAGATTTGTAACTTAGCAACATGATTTTGTTGTAATTATGTTCTCTGAGCTTGCTGATTCAGTCATGCTTTCACTGTCTTTCTAGATAACATTAACAGTTCGAACTAAAGATATAAAGGACCTATGAAAATTTATCCACAGGTGACCAGTAGCCTGTTCTGCTTTTTTATACCTTTGATCGTTAGTTGTTAACACGTACACTGCCATAGCCTGTACATTTATTTTGATTCTCTCCCTTCTTGATCTGATGGCTGTACATAATTTTTCTGACTGGTAGATAAGTTGCGTAGATTTTGATATGTTTATTGATTATTGACTGAGTGTAAACATTTTGGAGATTTTGTAGTCTACTTTGTGATGCCTCAGTCTAAGATTCCAACGTTTTCCTCAGTCGGACATATTTCTACAGTTGTCTATATGTATTGGTATAGGCAAAGATATGTTGTAGCCTTCTAAAGCCGATCGGTTCTCAAGTAGACGATGATGAAATTTGCTATCGTTATGTTTGATTTACTGTTCTTCATAATTAGGGAGGTTTTTTAAGATAGTGTTCGTCTTATCTTCTGTCATTTCATCTTTCGATTTGCATGGGGTTGATTCAATTGCTTCCTTCGGTTGCACGTATTTCGTGTCAATAATGGTCTCAATAGTCTGGTTATTCTAATAATATTCATCAAGACAGCGAGAACTTAACGATGAAATAATATATCTCAGTGAACGTATTTTTAACCAAATTACTGTAAGACATTATAATCTTATGGATGTAACAACTGCGAAGGAGTAGCATACAAGAACAAAAAAGTTGTCTTCATGCTTTATTATTTTCAATAATTATCTGACTGATGTCAACCGACAATTAAAGCAACACTGGAGCCTATGAAATCATTATGATTAGCCCAAGCATTTAAAGAAATTACTAATGTAATAGCTCCAGCTTGTTTATTTAAAAATGATTTGGTGGGTAAGGTTGTTTTGTAGTTAAATAATCTTTCCCTAAAGATTTGCAACGTAAATACAGCTATGAGGTCTGAAAGTTACTACAGCTGAGGAATAATACCCATCATCTTAAACACAATTTTGATTACATTTCTATCAGTATGGGGATTTGTGGAGATCGTGGTATTACCACAGTTGGATTCACGAGTCGATCTAAGCTAGACCACCACTGAAAACCTGGAAGCATTGGACGACCAGTTCGTCGTAGTATTGGACTCCCCAGTAGTGTGCATAAACGATCCCACACGTGAGACTCGGACCCAGGACCTTCGGTCTTGCACGTGAACGCTTAACCTCTAAACCACCGAACCGGCATCGAATGAAGTTAGACATTAACACCGATTCTGCAATCGTGAGTTGACTGAGGTCGAAAAAGTAAACCACTGTATACCAACTAAGTTGTTTTGAAGATAACACACTTACAATGAGGCCTAAATGTTTGTGATTCGGTCTTTTGTGAGTTTGTTGGTGAGGATTATAAAGGAATCCGATACTAGGGTTGATAAAATCTACTTTAGATCCCCTGGTTTTCAATGGTTGATTAATTAAAACCAATTCGTGATGTGAAATATTTTTCAAATAGATAATCTCGACCAACGTACCATTCTAATTATCTTGAAGTAATTAATTGACAGTTTTAATTGGCACTTCGCCAGTGGTGGTCTAGAGGTTAAGCGTTCGCGTGCGAGACCGAAGGTCTTGGGTTTGAGTCCCACGTGCGGGACCGTGAATGGGCACCGATGAGTAGTCTCATACTACGACGAAACGGTCATCCAGTGCTTCCAAGTTTTCAATGGTGGTCTAACATCAATTGATTTATGATCTCAACCAGAAAAGTTTGTTATTACATGCATAATGATAATTTGGGATTCATAGTGTTTTTTAATTTCACACCGAACTATTTAAATTTAATGTGCAAATAGATTAGTTATATCCCGAATAATAATTATAAGACATTCACTTATAATCTAAAACAACGGTGAAGACATGTGAATGACAAATTAACTGAACTTAAACCGATATACATATATAAGTTCCTTTATACTAACATAGATAAATTCCATAATAGATTTTACTAACTGGCACATGATAAAAAGGAATTGGCTTTGTTCAGGCAGAAACATAAACCATTAATATAATTAATATTTGGAAACACTAGTATTCAAAGTAAGTCAATACATATTGAATGTACTTTTGAACTTTAGATCAGGTTAAGAATTAGATATAGTCTTTTATTTACTGAAACATTGAAAATTAAATTTTCATCAAATTTGCATAATTTCCACTTCCTTAAATTTAAAACTAGATATTCTTAAGTTGTGAAAAATTATTAGAGAAATCTAATTTACTCAGTGAACCTTTCATAAATTGCTCATAGAAATTCAGAATATTTTACAGATCCACTGAAATAGACATTAAACTGTGGTTAGAAAATGTAAAATGGAACAGTACCGTTTAAATTAGCCACCGTATAACATTTTACTACAAACTATGAACAACAACATGTACTGGTATCAAAAATGTAATAATAATGATAAAAATAGTACTGCTGTAGTGAACGAGAACCTAGGTGGGGAAAATCAATTTATTATTCAATGCAAAATTACAGAGTGCTTTCATAAAATATGAAAATCATACATTAAATATATCATTTGAACATCTTCTTTGTTGTGTTCTTTACATACCCCATTATTCCTCTACTTCTGATGTCATTTCGATTCCTATCAGATTTGCTTTCTGTTCTCTTCTCTTCGATCTCCTGCTGCTAAGGATTCCACTTCCGATTGAGGCTACACCCTATTTACATCTAACAGAATAAGTAGCACACACCACACTATTATTATTATTGCTAATAATAATAGTAATAATGAGTGACCGGTAACTAACAAGTCATTTGGTGTAAAATAATCCTCAAAGTACAGATCTAATATTTTTCATGGACTGTGCTTGTGATTGAAAATGATCTTAAATTATTATGTGCCCATTTCTAATTGTACTTTTACAATATTGACCAATAGTTATTCTCTGATATCCTCAATAATATAGTTTGATTTAACATCAACGTAAATAAATATGATATTTGTGGTTGAAAGAAAATGTGCATTAAAATCAAAAGTGGTTCACTTCAGAGCGATGATCGCCTATTTAGGAATTCAAAATAATGTTTAATGGTTGAGGTCATCCGTAACGTTTTGTGTACTGTTATATCCCGACGACAATTATGAACGGTAACTTTTGAGAACTATTTGTGGACAAATATCATACGTATATTCTTTACGTACAACTATTCAGCAGCTATATTATGTATATCTATACTCCCCTTATTACAATCTTCATTTTGACCTATAAACTATTATCATACGATTAACCGTTCTTGAGTCTCACATAGTCCATTAATTACAGTCTCCCACATTCATAGCCACTTTTGGCTAGATATTGTACAAATCCTGTTTTCTATTTGATGGTGCGATGTGGTCTGTTTGATTTTTATATAAACCCAGTGCGTTTGAAAAACATTATTCATATTGCAGCGGCCGGGACTAGTGTTCTGCACTCAACAGGCAGGGCTAAGCAGGAAGAAGGGCCGATAAGGACTCTGGAGTGCTCGTACGGGTTTATGCGTCATTGGTCCGGTCGATAAGCCACTGTTCTTTAATTGGCAATATCATTACGTTATGTATTAATAGGGCACAAGGCCATGAGCTATAACATGTCCAACTAGTATATCATATCCAGCTCTTCCACTCGTTTCTTTTTGTTAACATGTTGCTTGAGTTCTGTATTTTAGTGTAATTTTCATTAGGGACCCTATTTGGAGCTCTATTTACATGTTTTCCATCCGAAATGTTTGGCTGCGTTACACCAATATGTTCATAATAGATGTCTTTGGATAACCCCATACCTTTGAAACTGAATCTTCAGTGGAATTTACACTTTAGTAAACGGGAAATTGACTGAAAATGCTAATTTAACCTAAATAACGGTGTTGTCGCTAAAAATGTACAATTGGAATAAGAAATAATGATAGAAAATCTAAAATGAATTTATATTTGATACTTACTTCAAAAACACTATTACCTTTCAGTAAAACGAGTCCACCATACTTCTTACAACGTTCTTGTTTCATCAAACTTGAGTTTACAGGCATAATAATAGTAATTGGTATTTTTAACAAACTTCCATGATATGCCAAACCAAGTGCATGGTTACCAGCACTACATGCAATTACACCACGTTTAGCTTCTTCCTACAACGAAACATTCAAATGTTCATGTAACAAGTATATAACACTTTGATCATAAACAATCGTTCACTACAAATAATTATTCTGTTTAAACGACAAAGTGACTAGACGCCTTAACTTATTTTGGTTATCCTACCGTGCGTAAAAAAGTGATCAATTCCTGACTGACCATATACTGAAAGATTATTTCGTTACTATTTATGTCCTATCTTTTACTTCCATCTAGAGCTGATAATCTGTATGGACATTCCTGAAAAGTTCTAAGATCAAAATAAAATCGTCTACGCTTGAATTTTTATTCCTCACGTTTAGCCGTGAATCACTAAAATTTTCTTCAGGAATATGTGATATCAGCAGCTTCTGTTGATATATTCACAGAGAGGTGGAATCTCCATAGCACTAACAATAGCAAAGATTAAAATAGGTCACTTGATTTCAAAAAGCCATTGCTAATGTGTACCAACTTGCTAAATGGAAATGAGTAGTATATGAATGGTGATGAAGATTGTATAATTGACTAGGCATTTTATATTTTATAAAATCATACATTGGTTTGTTGCTATGAATACAAAACCAATTTCAACAATGCGAAAAATCATGGTTCATTACTCCTCTTAGTTGTACAAATGCGATTTAACAACAATCAATCAACACAGTTACGTCTATATTTACTCACGCACATATACATACTGGCCTATTAAGAAAACATAGTTAACTTGGTGATTTAAACCAAGCAGCGTGAACTGCTTTACAATAAGTTTTAAAGTAATTCTTAATTTTAACAAGTAGTCATACATTTAAAAAATAGGCAGTGTAGTTTATTATCTCATGTCACAAAACCCCCTCAAAAAAATTCACTTATAAAATGAAATGAACATAATATAATGAGGAAGTTAAACATAGATAGGCATAAAATTCAGTATTTATTAGTTTAAACATGTTCTATTTGTCTACTATTGTTAATTGAATATGAACGACTACTGCTGAGATGTAAAATAAAATATTGATTCATATAAGACTGATTTTATTTATATTTACTTGTTAACATGCGACAGATACAAGAACCTTTCTGTAAATGTGTCTTTAATGACGTTAATGTAAGATTTGGAAGTGGTACTTATCTCAAGTTACAAACACTTTTGATTTTTGATGAAAGTGGAAATATTTTAATGACATTTGAATACAATGGAGTTCCACCAACCTAACTAATATAATTTATTTGTAAAGTACATATTTATTTCATTGATCTTCATATACAATATTAGTGGGGAGGTTAGTGATACTGTGTGTACTACTTATATTGACATAAGTAGTAGATGATGTTAGTCGTGAACAGAATGTCTGGCAGCAGAGAGACAAGAGGATCGAATAGTAAAGAATGGAAACAGAATGCAATTTGTATGAAAATGCAAGAACGATGAAGTCTGAGTCATTATGCGACAATTGATGGACTTTTTGCTAATTACATATTTACTATTTGGTTGTTAGATTTTATTAATAAGTCCCGTAATTTTCTGTTAATCATATTCGATTGTTCCCACTGGTGTTCTTGTTCACTACAACACTACTTGGTTGCTCAAATTAAGATAGGTGAACTGAGATTCAAACTTGTAACTGTTTAGGTAAAAGTTGCAACCTTTACTTGCTAATCCATTAGTTTCTCTGAACTACCACTATTCGTCTCGTTAAAATGTCACCGTTTCTAAAACTTTTTGGGGTGTCAATGAATATGGTATATATTAGTGAGGAGCTTTTTATCTTCACTTTCGACTTTAGTTTGGAAAAAAAGTTAGGTATCTCATTAAATTTTCTTTTATCAGTTAATATCAGTTTGAAAAGCGTTCAAAGTTAAGTAGTCGTGAATATGGGGGTTCTCTTTAAATTTTCACTACTTTAGCTACACTATCCGATAATAAATAAACTCAAGCAATTTGTTTTACTTCAACGGCCACATTACACTTGTCTGTAAAATTATTGATATGTTATTTCTTTTTCATAATATGGCAATTCAAACTGCTAGAGTATAATTTACCGTACATTACTATATGATAAAGGTTAAACGATGTTGGATGGTTAAATTCGACAACTTAAACTCTTATATGACTTTTGTAGACTGATTTTTGAGCGTAAATTACTAAACAGTTAAAAATTGAAATGAATCAAACTATCAACCACTTTCATTACATTTTTAAGTGTACGACCAAATCATACAAAAAATAAAATTATTGCTTACTGACGTCAACTGAAGTAGTGCATTGCGAGCTCCTCTTTCTTTAAAGCTGTTATTAAAAAGAAAGTCATAAAGACATTAAAACGTAATTTAAAAACAGTAACCTTCCAGTTACTTGAAGAAATTCCTTTTTAAAGTAAATATCCATATTGTATTCCAATGACAGCTGAGACTTCTTTAAAACACATGTAGGTGTATTTATGCAATTTATGTTTTAATTCTTACTTTACACGGTGTATAAATTATTCCATCTTTTATAAGTTCACTGGCAGCCTTCACTTCTTCAAATACAATCACTTTAGGATGCTCTGGATCACTATTCGGATCTAACAAATCTGGATCGTCTGCATTTGGTAAAGGTATATTTGTCACTAATTGTTCATTAACCATGATGCCGGTATATGTCAAACTAATCTTCTGATAAAAAAGAAGCTATTTTAATGCGTCATCAATATATCAATTAAATTAACAAGAAAAGCTATATGTTTACATCTCACCGCTACCCAGATAAGCGAGTTACGTGAAAAGTGGAACTTATATCGTAAATTGTTTCTCCGAAAGCTGATTAATACAAATTTGTTTAGCGCGAAAATATATAATTTACTGTTATGGTAAGCTAATTAGATGTAGACTAATGAGAAGGCTAGTCGACGATAATCAAAAGTGACCTATAGAGCACGTGAATTTCATTGGCTAAGAAATAGATTAATTTCCCAAGTGATAGAGTTGTATATATGTGATTGAGTATTTTTGCATTTCATTCTGTAGCCCAATATACTTCCCCACTCAGTTTTGTGTTCTTGCCTCATTAGTCAGTTGATAGGGGGAGTTAGGATATGGCACATGGTTTATCAATAACAGACTCCGGACACCACCCGACACGAATTTTACAGTATTAAACAATCGAAATAGGATATAGAAAGCCAGCCATAAAACCATTATAAGCTGGCAAATAATACGTTAAAAGTTACCTATCAGTTGATGGCTATGTAACGTTTATCAGTATATTGATAAACGTTATTCTAATTCATTGGCTTGGATCTATTAACTAACCGACAGGACTATAAGAGTTTCAGAAGTATTTAGTGATATAGGTGCATATATTATTTTATACGTCTCAATTGCAAATACCATCTAACTAATAGCCACATAAATAATTAAGGTTACTAAAGTGTTTATTGCACATTGTTCTTTAACGCCAGAAGAGATGCAGAAGCACTTAGATACAAAGAGTAAATAAACAATAGTTTAACTGATGTTTTGCGTTCATTGGCTACGTTAATAGCTTTGATTTTACCAACTAAATAAAAATACGTAGACAAACATATCCTAAAGAGAAGACCTAGAACATTGTGTAGTTTGTAAACGCTCTATGATCACCAAAACCTAACATCTAGTTTCCTTTAACTTCATTTCTTTTGCAATGTATCCCTCAATCTGTTCCAACAAGATCTCTCCTCTCGTTACAGCCACCGGAGTGTGAATTGACTAATAAAGTGTAAAAAGTTAGAAACTTGGTGTCTACTTTAGGTAAAATCTGTCGTAAACACATTGTCGAAGACATAACATTTTCGAAAACACGAACGAGTGAATCGGTAGTAGATATTGTGTGGTGTACAAATGGTTAGAAAAAACTTCCTGTTTAAATAATGTTTGTCCTCATCTAAGTTTCATTCAGTTTCTCGACCTCTTATTATAGATTACTGAACAGTTTGTTTAAGATCTATTGTTGATCTGCTGGTAACAATGTACTTTATTGATTGATTGTTCCACACAATATATTATACCTCCAAACTCATTCGTTCCTCATCGAGCTTCTAATAGTCTTTCAGCTCATGACAAACCCGTCTTTTACATTTTTTAACTCAGAATAGATAACCATGTAGCTTGAATGTGTAAGTATCATGTTTGGAGAACCCATTTGATGGCTATAAAATTGCAAATTTTTAACCACTTTGAACACGCTTAGTTTAAGTACCTTTAAGTAATTCTTTATTTTGGATATTTCTACTTGTTTCTAAATTATCCTCTAGGGTTTTATTTGTGTTATAATAATTTCCCTGACTTTCCACTTGACCCTGTTCAGTACATTACAACAATTTGTGTTTCGAAGCATAGTGCGTACATTAGAGAACAGTGGGATGTACAATACGGTTGACTGACGTACATCCTTGGATAAAAAAGTTCATCAAACTTCATCATGGGAAATATCATAATTTCATGAGAACTGTGAATATAGAATTTGTGTATTATATAACAACATTTATCTGAAATCACAACGACGATCATAAGATATTTTATTCTTTAACTTTTATTTGAATTAAGTATTTGTGGCGCTAAAACAGGTTTTTTATATCATTAAACTATTTTTTGTCTGTATGCCTAACAAGTGAACGTACTCAAAAACATGTGGTTATGATAGAATTGTAAAACAATTTAGTGTCTTAATCATCCAATATAAGTGCCCTGCAATGCATCATAGAAACAAACTATTCAGATTAATATTTTAATAAATTGTATCAAAAATTAAAACCGCTAGCATTCAATGACCAAAATATGTGACAGAAAATCTTCATTTTAAAGAATTCCGACCGCTTCAGAAATGAAAAACATTATCCGGAGAACAGTTTATTATTCTTAGGAAATATTTTAAAGTGGTTGTCTACGAATCAATAAGAATCATGAAATAATAAAGCTTACATAAAAAATCAGCTAATTCTGAAGAGAGCGTGAACTGAGAGACCAGTCGTATTTCCGCGCTTAGGCGCCAACATTTCGTTTGTTTTTAAGGTTATTCAATGAACGGTATCTTTGTGATGCTTCGAAACAGTTTAAGGTCTTTGATAATGTAAAGTGAGAAGTAGTCTGGTATTCCTTTTAGTCACTTTGGGAGTTATTTGAGGTCTTCTGTATCTTGAAATCCGAGTGAATTTATCTTAAGATTAATTAACGCAGTAGAGTTACAGAAATCAACAACTATTGAATTAACATACAGGAAATTCGTTAATTTAATGCTAGAAATATTAAAAAAATTAGAATGCAGGAAGGCTCAGATAAAATTATGATCAGAAGAAGTAAACAAATAAATAAGTTATTACTTAAAACAGTATGACCAAGAAAGATTTGTTTCATATCCCTATCATTGCGTTCTTCCCCTGCCTCTTAGAGCTATACGTAAATCTAATAGATTTTGTTATCACAATACATTCCTATGTATTCCTTTTTTGCAAGACATCGCATATATATGGTGTTTGTATGAAGTAATGATTATGTAGCGGTAAATAAATCACCAAAATCAATGACTTTGCAAGTCCTTGATATTTGACGCCGACTACTTTAGTTTTAGTGGGTTCACCTGGATGAAGGCGCTCGGTCACGCATCCACACCAGATCACGAGTGAAAACTCAATGCTCAACTTCTACAACCGCTAGCCAGTTTAGATCAGTCGTTTCTCGATATATGAATAAACCATCAAATATATCTTCGAACCTCTTCGCTTCTGATTTTTGATTTCACTGGATGGGCACGTTTTGATTACAGATGTTACTGGATGAGGTGGTGTCAAACTTCGAATAATTGCGACATCTTCAATTGCTTTGCAATTGATTCTTAGTTCATTTTGAATTATAGATACAATACTTTCGTTTGTGCTTATCTAATTCTATTTAGCTTAAATTGCACAGTTTCGAAAACTCAAAAATAATACAATAATCCGAATGCTTCTAGTTTTCAGAATATGCATATTCCTAACGCAGTGAGCTGTGTCTACATGTACACTGTCGCGAGGTTGCGGCTAAGGATGTTAGAACCTTATGAACTTTGAGACGGATATTTACCAGGTTAAATGCTAATATGTTCGCTACAACATAAAACCTTACAATCATACAAACTTCAAAATAGTCTTCAGGTTGCAAATATTTGTTTAAAAGATGACCCATGTATACTGAAAAAAGTAAACAGATCAGCTACGCGTGCAATTCCAGAACTCCGGGATTTAAGACGATAAGGGCAGCTTGGGAAGCTAGACTTCTTTACTACGTCCCACAGCAGATTAAAAGGTGATCTGACTCTTATGTTTAGAATACTAAGAAATGATTTTATAGCAGATCGACACAACCCAGAAGATATAGCAGGAGAGTAGAAAAGCCAAGAACGAACAAAATGCCTGTTGCATACGTGTTTTCACACCGAGTCATCAATTCTTAGGACCTGTAACTCGAAAGAAGCGGTATGCACCCCCTCATTTGACTCAGTCAAGAGAAGAACCAGAAAGATCATATGTGTACTACTACTACTAGAAGATTCACTTGGTATTATTTATTTGAATCTTACCACTGATCGTTAGGACTGAAATTGATCAGTTACTTATTGGTATATGTATATACTGTGTATATTGTCTCGATATTTTCTTAATTCGCAGGCACTACAAGCAAAGATAGACTCGGTAGCTAAGAGGATAGTGCGACGGCGTTTAAATTTAACGGCACTAAGTTAGTGTTCCAGTTTAAGCATAAACTTTGGAGAGCAATTAACGAGTTCCGAACAGGATTCCACTGCTAGCAAATAGAAGATGTGAGAACCAGAAGAGGAGCTGGCATAGATTCAAATCACCACTTAGTCGTGGCCAAGATGAAACTGAAACTACAGGAGCAATCGACAACTGGACAAACAGGATTACAAAAATTCAATTCAGCCTTCCTGCGAGGCACTAACAAGCTCAATGAATTCAAGATAACTCAGCAACAGGTTCCAAGCTTTACATGCTCTACGGAAAGAAGAAGAAACTTCTATGGAGGACAACTGGAAAGGGATCAAACAAGCATTAACATCAAGGTGTCAGGTGCCGGACCGAAAGAAGCATTATCATAATGAATGGATCTCTATCGAAACCCTGGACAAGATTGAAGAAAGAAAGAACAAGAAGACAGTAATCAACAACAGTCGAACAAGACCACAGTAAGTCAATCCACACGCTGAATATACATAAGCGAACAAGCAAATGAACAGGAGTATTAGAGTCGACAAGCAGAAATATGTGGAAGACCTAACAATGACAGCAAAAAAGCTTCAAGAGAAGGAAATATGGGACAGCTACATGACACAAAGAAGGAATGAACAGAGAAATATAGTAATCCAGAGAGATCGGTCAAGGACAAAGAAGGCAAGCCCGATCACAGACATTCAGGGACAGAGGAACAGGTGAGTCGAACATTTTGAAAAACTCTTAAATAGACCAGATCATTGAATCCCCAGGATATCGAAGCATCACCTACAGACCTTCTTAAAGATATCACCCCACCAACGATCGAAGAAATCATCTGGAATTCATACGACGGGCTGCATAGAGGACAGCTGACTGATGCACTCCAAGTAAGGACCTGAGTCAGAC